TTCAATATCGGGGCTGCCCTATAACAGCTTGAGTTAAGCATGATCCTGTATGAAGGTGTGAAGTTGTATCCCCAAATTACAGAGTTATGTAAACAATTGGCAAATAAATAAGAAAGGAAAAAAACAAAGTACAGTTCTCTAATATTTAGAACTGTAAGAAACGGAAAATAATCAGCAGATGATTTCCTTTCCAGTGAGAAAGGCTCTGGTGTTTTGAGTCTGTTTTGATTAGAGAAAAGAGCCTACCTAATTATGGAAAGTCATGGGGCTTAAATCAGTTTACATTTGAAATATTCTAGGACAGTTGCAATTGTCTATGGCAGCGCATTAACATGTGTTCTTTTAAATGTTTTATGCCAGTTGACCTCAAACAAATAAACAAACTTGAGTCACTTCAACAAAATGGTTTCATTCAGAAAAGAAATGAAATTTGGGAAGGGGGGGGGTTATCAAGGTGAAAAAAGCACGTGCTTCCCGAAAACAAGAGGAACTTCCTGTATAGACTTTTGAGAGGCTGTTATAAACAAAGATTCCATTGGAGGACAATGGGAGTCAGATGTATAGCGTCTTCTCATTGGCTGGGACATGGCGGCTCCCATTGGCTCAGCTGTTGCTGGGCAAAAAGGAGCCTCCGCCTTCTTCTATCTGAGGCAGCCAAACAGCGTCACTTCCTGTCAGAGATGCAAGACCCACTGTTTCCCATTGGATTCTGTAGTGTTCAGGAGGCATGCAAGTGTGTGGTGCTGTCTTCTAGTCCCCAACCTCATTTAAACGAGGTTTCTGTATATTAATTTGCACAGGCCTCTTGTTGGACATATTTCTCCCTTGAGACCCATAAAGTGAACACACTGGCATTACATTTATAATTACTTTCTAATTTTTTTTTTTTTGGTTACTAAAAAAATTATAAGGAAAGACAAGTTTCCCCACAACTAAAAGTGTTTGTTGCCAGGAAGAGACTTATTTTCTGTCTCTAAATTGCTGAGTATTTTTGTTTGTTCATTTCTGTAAGCCATAAAAGTGTAGTAGTAGTTACCAGCAGAAAATAGGCTGGAGTTTGCAAATTGTCAAATTGCCTACAAATAATATTTGGAGATTTTTTTTTTTCTGAGTCTGCTCTTCTTATCCATTGTAAAGAGAAAAGTTTCTCTTGCTAGTTGGTTGACAAGTAAATAATTTTTGTGTCCTGGAGCATTCTTTGCTGGATTATGTCCTCTATTAATCGTGTGCCTCAATATGCATAATGAATAATTTGATGATTATGTGGAGGAGAAAATGAATAGTGAAATGAAAAATAAAATTAACTGGTAGCAGCTTTTGCATAATATGGAAGAGTTTTATTACAAATTAATAGTGGAATCAGTAACATTTGGGAGTAATCATAAATAGCCTGATTCTTTGAAATGTCTCTATGGGCAAAAGAAGAACACATCAGCACACCTTCAGATGGGGATTTTGAAATGAATCTTGAGGGCATCCCTGGTGGTGCAAGAGGTTAAACACAGCATTATGAAGCAATCCCCAGCCTCTGCAGCACGAGTTGGATCCCCTGCCAACCAGAGAGAAACCAACATGGCACAGCAGACCTCTCCTGTCATGCCCCCTGCTCTCCTCAGCAGTGTATTTCAGTCAATCTGCCTGTTCTGTTCTCTACTCTGTCTCTGGTGAGCCCTCTCACCCCACCTTTCCCATCTCTGCACCTCTGGCTTGTACCTCAGCTCTTGTATGCATAAATAAATTTTTAAAAATCTTTAAAAAAAAAAAAAAAGAAATGGATCTTGAATAGCACTCTGCACTCCCTGGATTGACAATGAGGGAGAAGCTGTTCATAGTTTCCATCAGAAGCATTTCCTTTAACAGAAATGTAAAAAGTAAACAATGCTTCTACAATGTTCTTTAATAGTGTGTTGTGGAGGATGGCAGGCTCATCTCCAAGGAAGATGTTATAGGTCAATGGTGAGATACCCACTGTTATAGGTCAATGGTGACATACTTAACTGTGGGGCACCAAACACACAAACACAGCAGCATGCCTTTGGGAATAGGGTTATGTGGGACAGATAATGTTGGACCTGTATGCAGTCTGTATTGTCCACCCTAGTTGTGCTACTTGAGTTGTAAACCAGCTGGTGAAAAGAGCACAACATGCTGTCATATCTAAGGAAAAGTGCATTGGGTAGGACTATCCTGCAAGGCCAGAGTTTGAGGTCCCACAACTGATATGTTATGAGACACTTAATCTAAATCTTTGGGAATGATTTCTTTGGTCTGATCATGTATAAAGCAGATAGTAAATAAATGGATTTTATGTTATAAACACAGTTGAAGAGTTTTTGCCTCATTCCTTTTTACTAAAGTATAGCATATATACTTTTAACCTGTTAAATTGTTTTTGTGACAAATTATATAGTGACTTTATAATTTATTCTTTATTGGCATTTGTTTTCTTTTGAGTTGAATGTGGTTTGTTAGTAATTTGTATTTGTCTTGCAATTACTTGGAAAACAAACCTTCTTATTTAGCTATATGAATTACTATCTTTTATGTTTCTTAAAAATATGTTTGAAAAACTCTTTTTTCTAGTTATCAGAGCCAAGTTTGAAGCCACAAATGTAGACTCCATAATGTGCAGAATTTAGTTCATGTTCAACCTCCTTCTACCTCTGGTAACTACCAATCTGTTCTCTGTATCTATTTTGTTTGTTTATTACCGGGGCTGCAGAGGCTGCGGGCAGCTTCGCAGCCCAGTGCTCAACCGCTGTGCCACGAGGGGAGGCCCTCCTTTTTTTTTTTTTTAAGAAGTATTTTTTTTAAAGATTAATTTATTTATGCATACAAGAACTGGGATATAGGCCAGAGGTGCAGGGGGTTTGGGGGGAGTGGTGAGGGAGTGTCGTGAGAGGATTCACCAGAGACAGAGTAGGGAACAGAGCAGGCAGACTGACTGAAACACACTGCTGAGGGGAGCGCAGGGAGACAGGAGAGGTCTGCTGCGCCATGTGGGCTGCTCCCTGGCCAGCTGGGGATGGAAATCATGCTGCAGAGGCTGTGGGTAGCTTCACAGTGCTGTGCTTAACCCCTGCACCACCAGGGAGGCCCAATGTTCATTTGCTTTCTTTTTATATTCCATACATGAGTGAAATCATACAGTATTTGTGTTTCTTCATCTGACATTTCATTTAACACAATACCCTCAAGGTATATCATATTGTCACAAATGACAGAATTTCATCCTTTTTATAGCTGAGTAGTTTTCCATTGGATAGGTCAGTAGATTGATAGATTAGATGACAGATAACCTCACATTTCTTTATCCATTATCTATCATTGGGCACTTAGATTGCTTCCATATCTTAGTTATTGTAAATAATGCTACACTGAAAACAGGAATAGATGTATCTTTTCAAATTAGCATTTTCACATGCTTTGGATAAACTCCTGGAGGTGGGACATCTGGATGAGATGGTATTTCTATTCTTAACTGTTTGAAGACATATCATACTGTTTTCTCTAAGGACTGTACCAGTATATATTCCCACCAACCGAGTATAAAGGTTCTCTTTATTCCACATCTTCACCAACATTTGGTTATTTCTTCTTTTGCTAGTAGCCATTCTAATAGGCGTGAGGTGAAATCTAATTGTGGTTTTGATTTGTACAATTTCCTCATAATAAGTGATGATACACTTTTCTTCATGTGTCTGTTGGCCATCTGCGTGTCTTCTTTGGTGAAATGTCTATTCAGGTCCTTTGCACATTTTCTAATCTGTTCTTTTTTGTTGTCGAGTTACATGAGTTCTTCCATTCTTTTAGATATTAAACCCTTGCCAGATTTGCGATTTGCAGATATCCTCTCCTATTCAGCGGGGTGCTTTCATTTTGGTGATAGCTTCTTTCATTGTGCTGAAGCTTCTTAGTTTGACATAGTCCCATTTGTTTATTTTCACTTTTGTTTTTCTTAGTATTGGGGTCAAATGCCCAAAGTCATCTGTAAGGTCAGTGTTGAGGGGTTTATCATTGTGCTTTCATTATGCATTCTGTAGTTTTAGTTCTTACTTTGAGATATTTCATATGCATGGATTGGAAGAATTAACATTGTTAAAACAGCCACTTTACCTAAAACAATATACAGACTCAATGCAATCCCTATCAAAATCCCAACAGCATTCTTCACAAAAAGAGAACAAAAATCCTAAAACTTTCTAAATATTTTTGAGCACCCAAATAGCAAATTTAATTTTTACCAGATATTTGGTTTAAAACTTTCCAGATATTATATCATTTAATTCGCAGGACAACCTGCAAGGAAGAAATGCTATTCTCCTTTCACACTGGAGGAAACTAGCATTTTAAATGTTACAAAAAGCATTTAAAAGCCAGAGCTCACCCATTTCAGTGGAAGAGTCACGAGTTTAAATCCGGGGCTCTTTTCCTTACTATACTATCTTCTATCAATGATTTTCATAGCTTTATATTTTATTCAAATATTCTACAATATTCTATTGTAGAGGATTTTTTTCCATTGCCTCGTTTTATCTATCCACTCTTGAGCGCTATTAATGCAACCTTCTATTTAAAAAAAAAATGGCTACAGACCTAGGTTTTTGCAATTATTTTAGAACAGCTTTCCTCTTCGTCTCCCTAACCCTGGATGGTGTGAACAGACTGTATGCCGGCTGCAATGTCATTTACCTTTGGAGAGGTTGTCGTGTGGAGCAGCGGGAAGGAGGTTTGGATTCATAAAAAATTCAGATTCCAATCACGGTTGTGTTCTGTAGCTTGGGCAAGTTTTTTTTTTTTTCTTCTTTTGTTTTTGTTTTTGTTTTTTTTAGCTCGTTTCGTGCCAAGGTAGCCCAGGTAAATTACCTGCCACGCAGAGGAGGCTGTTGGCATTCCCGGGCGGTGTCGTGGTCTGTTGGGGCTCCCTCCGCCCCCCCAGGCGGCCCGCGCGCCTGGCCTCGAGGGACCCGATCCCAGGATGCACTGCCGCGCTGACCGCCTGGCCGAGTCGTGGTGGGCTGGAACCTGCGCTGCAGGACGGACGCCAAGAGGAGACAGGTGCGGGCGAGGGGTGCTGTTCTGAGTGAGACCTTGTGGCCGGAGCTGAGCGGTGAGCCGGTAGGTGGATCTCACAGGCCAGAAGAGGTGCCCGCACATCCCCCTGGCAGGGCCTCGTTCCCGCGCGGGCCGCATCCTCAGGCCCTGCCCTCAGGACCCCCCACATCCTCAGGCCCTGCCCTCAGGGCCCCCGTCCTCAGGCCTTGCCCTCAGGACCACCCCCCATCCTCAGGCCCTACCCTCAGGCCCCCCGTCCTCAGGCCTTGCCCTCAGGACCCCCCCCCATCCTCAGGCCCTACCCTCAGGCTCCCCCCCTCCTCAGGCCCTGCCCTCAGGCCCCCAGTCCTCAGGGCCCTGCCCTCAGGCCCCCAGTCCTCAGGCCCTGCCCTCAGGACTCCCCCACATCCTCAGGCCCCCCCTCAGGCCCCCCGTCCTCAGGCCCTGCCCTCAGGCCCGGCCCCAGCAGGCCTTGGCCTGGACCCCCGCCTGCAGCAGGCCATGTCCCAGGCCCCAGCCCCACGAGACCAAGGCCGTGTTTCAGCAGGAGTCGCTGCCAGTCTCTCCAGCCCACTGCATACATGGTTCTGCAAACTCCTTAAGGCGGGTCCCAGAGCTCCTCTCCCCAGGGGTTTTTATCTCTGCTTGTGCCTTTGTGGGTTACTGTGATGCACATTGAAAGGACAGTTGCTCGTTTGGCTCCATCTTCTTTGGACAAAAGCTCTACCCTGGTGAATAAAGATTTAGCCCAGATTTGGGAGGAGATTCACAAGGAGCTCTGGAGACTATCCAAAAGTGGACTGAAAGGTCTAAATATGAGTCCACTAGTCAGGATAGCCTTTGAACCCCTCGCCTCAAAGCCCTATTGAGTGGGCTTTTGTTCCCTCTGGTGAAAGTTATTGACCCAATGGCATGATTTTAAACAAGTACCAAAAAATACCCTATATTTACTCTACAATTCAACAAAATTTATCATGGGGCCAGGATATATTTGGAACCTATGGTTCTAGGTGCTGGGACCTCACAGTGAGAAAGTCACCCTCCCACTTGCTTGTAGTCCTAGATTAGAGGCCATCACCCTCTGATATTTGATGTTTACCCCATTTTTTTCTTTGATCTCATTAGAAAATGTCTTTAAATCAATTGGAATGAGGAAAAAAGTCTTAAGTACCATGTGGACTTGTAGAAAGGGTAAGGCTGTCCAGTTAGGCTGAATTGGACAGTTTGAACTATGCATCATCATCCTTTAATGGGTTAGTTGAGTAGGTACCGACCAGCATTGTTCAGAGACTAGGTTAGACTAGACTAGGCTATAGACTACAGTACAAAGAGTTTAACTCTAGCTTTGTGAAACTTTGGTTTTAGATATGTATAGTTGTTGGTATATGTATTAGGTCATGATGTAAAAGGTCATTATTCCAGATCACATTAAAATTTAAGTGACTGGTTTAGACCAGAACAAATATGTTATAAATACAGAAATTACCCTCACAGTAGTAATAACCTGTCTTGATATTAATTATTAATGTAATTGGAAGAGTCAGAGGGCATTTCGGCTCTAATTAGTTCCTGCTTTACATTTACTTTACTTGGTATTAGAATGGCATGTGTTTGGGTATCTGATCTATCACAGTATAGATCATTGTTGACTTGTAAGGAATGGAATGCAGAATTGCTCCAATGCATGAGATCAGTCACTTTGTTGGTTTCCAATTAAGGAAGCCATGAGCCAGTCAATGTTACTGTGAAAGTACGCATGTTTTATAGGTAATTTCAACTGTTGTCATGTGGATCCTTGAGGATCTTTGCCTCAGCATTGTCCCTACTGAACCCCAGTCATGAAGTTTAACAGTCCATGAGTTTTCTGGTCTGTTCCACTTGTTATGTTACTCCCTTCAAAAGCTTAGAACCTTGACATAGAGCATTCCTGAGACTATGGGATCTTGTTCTTAACAGTGAGATGAATTTCTTTTCAGTTTTGATAAAAGATTTTTAAAATATAAAACTAAAATGTGAAATCCTTGATGCTTATTGTAATAATTATTTTCACATTTTGTGTTTGTATTTGTTTGTTGATTGATGGTTTGATACTAAGGATTTACCTAACTAAAGGTTTGGAGTACGTTTGTTGGCAATTTATCATCTAATGTTTAGGTGGGGCACTTAATTATAAATGGCGAATGTTCTGTTTTGCAAATGGGCCTTGAAGACAGTTTAACATAATCAAGCAAACTATTTTTAATTTGACCATACTTACTGGTGTTGTAACTGTTAGGATAGGAGTTCCATAAATGTTTGAGTAAATGAATGTTATAATTATAAATTACTTATCTAAACATTCTGTGAGACATAGTATTAGCTCAATTTTTATACTGGCCTTCTTTTATGAGAAACTAGTATTTCACAGGTTTATTTCAGGAACTCTGTAAGACATCTTTTTGAAAAGGGATAAGTGAATAGCAATCATTCTGTCCTATGCTTTCAAACAGTGCCAAACAGTAAAACAAATTATATGACATCTGAATTTCTAATTCAAAATCAACCTAATGCAAGGGAGGTTAAAAAAAATTATTCTTTCTCATTTGAGGTGTCAGTAGAAGCCAGTGAGAGATGCTTTATAATCAACTTGGTATGTGGTAGTTTGCTCATATCCCTCGGTGTCTTCCAAAGTGCCAGAGCCCCACTCTTTCTGGCACTTAGTGTTCAGCTCTGTTGTCCTATTGATAGTCTCCCACAGAGTGAGAGCAAATGGCTGCCAGAAATGTGCTCGAATTTTCCAGTCAGAGCTCAACACTCTTAAGCAGCTAGAAGCAGGACCATAGTTGCCTTGTTCACTGTGATTTCCCTATTTCCAGGCTCAATAAATAATTGTTGAAGGAATGAAAAGACCATGGAAGGAGGAAGAGCAGCAGCAGAAGGTACATAAAGCTTAAAACTTAGGGGGAGAGAATATTATCAGACCCTAAATTAATATTTATTGAGGGTCTTTAGTATTTTTTGAGAGTCTCCATTATTTATTGAGAGCCTCTAGGAACTGGGTAGTGTTTCTGGCGTGAGATCTGGCTCACTCCAGGATGAATGCAGCCTAATGGAGACAAGCCACAGACAGACGTTCACACATACATACATGCACACACACACACGGATCAAGTTGTATCACACAAGTATTTTGTGCTGTGGTATTAAAGAATGGGGCAGCATATAAAATGGTCCTTCTGGCATGATTTACATAATAAGTGTCAAGATTTAAGTGGAAGAAAAGGTGGATTCAGGTGGATTTGAGAGGTCAAATGGGTAGGGTTTGGATAAGGAGGGATCACAGGTGGGGCGTAAGGACAGATCAGAGGGCACCTCGTCCCTGATTTATCCCAAAGGGTGGGGAGGAGTAGAAAATAGACCATTATTGAAGATTAGATTTAGTGTAACCAGCACTAAGAAGCCACAGAGAACAAGAAAATAATTTGATGAGAGCTTTGGTTTGAGATTACTTAGAAGTAGCAAGCAAGAGGGCAGCTCTACCTCAGGGACCGGAAAAGGACAGGAAACACATCCCCCCAAAACCCCTTTTGGTCACAACAGGAAGTACTGGTCCCCCTGGACGCTTTGGTGGCACAGGTGAGGGGAAAAGCATTTGGTTTAGAACTGGGCCTGCAGTGTTCTGATATGACTAAAGAGCCACCAAGCCTTCCAACAACTTCACTCACGTTCATTCTCAGCCTCAAGCCCAGCCTGGGTTTCTAGTATTCTAAAGAGCAGCCAGATATTGTTTTTTTTGTTTTTAAGATTTATTTATTTATGCATAGAAGAACTGGGATACAGGCCAGAAGTGCGGGAGGTGAGAGGATTCACCAGAGACAGAGTGGGGAACAGAACAGGCAGACTGACTGAAATACACTGCTGAGGGGAGCAGTGCGGAGACAGGAGAGGTCTGCTACGCTGTGTGGGTTGTTCCCTGGCCGGCCAGGGATTGAACTTGAGCTGCAGAGGCTGGGGATAGCTTCACAGTGCTGGGCTCAACCTCTTGTGCACCAGGGAGGCCCAGATATTGTTAATAAGAAGATAGAAGGACAAGTGTCTTGTCCTTGGGAATGAGTCTTAGTTGGCTGACATCAAGAACGTTGCTCATAGTACTTTTAAAAAACTCCTGCCTAAGAATTCACAAAGAGGTGCCCATTTGGGAGGGTCTCTCATCTCCTAAGCAGTTCTTGTCCCACTTCTTTGTTGGCAGGTGCCATTAGGTTATGGGCTGGGAGGGAGAATAGGTAAGATGGAAAAGATGGATAACCTCCCTGAAGTCAAGGCCATGGTCTCCATCTTTGCATTTCAAGCACCTGGCACAGAATGCAACGGTCCTTTTGTTTCCTCATTTTCTTGTTACCTATAACATGATTATCGACAGCCTAGATTTGTAGACACTCATCTACACTCATCTACTCAGACACTCATCTTCCTCTTACTTCTTTCCTATGTAGTGCTAGTATAATTCATCCATTCAGAGTACACTGAATGTGTGCCTAGAGGCCAGCACCCTCAAGTTCTCCCTTCTCAGAACAAGACAACCATGTTGGTTATTTTGGGGAATGAGAACTTGGCCCACTCTGTCTGTATCCTGATGCCCTATTTTGTAGCCTTAGCCCCACATTAAAAATCCATGGTTTATGCTTGTATGGATGTGGGACATGAAACAGTAAATGTTTGAGAGCCTCTCTCCCTTCTGGTCCCCATGAGTACCCAGGAGAGCATCTGAGCATGCACTACATGCCCCTCCGAAGCTGTGTAAGCAAGTCTGTGAGCGCCTATGTTCATCTGTTTGTGTGTCTGCCTCAGGTATGGCAGTGAGGCTTTATGAGACCCTGAGTCCTTGAAAGACATGGTGTGCCTGGAACATAGACCGAACCCAGTAAATACTTGTTGAATGGTTTAATGAGTAAACACGGAGTTCAGAGGACGGTGATGGGTATTGCGTGGGGACTTAACCCAAGATGTGCTCTTTGTGCTCAAGATTTACTTAGGGGAGTGAAGTCTACATGCGTGAAATAAAGTCTTTTACAAAGTAACTGGAATTAAGCCTATAGAACAAATATATTGATGATAAAAGTACAGCTGTTATTATAATTATGTTCATAGCTAACTTTCACGGCCTGCTTACTATGTACCACACACTGTCCTAAGTGCTTATATATATATATATATATATATATATAAGTATATATTGATATATATATATATAAAGATATATATATATATTGATTGATTCATTTATATATTGAATATATATATATATATATATTCAATATATATATATTGATTCATTTCACATGTTTTGCCTTATTGCTCTCATTTTCCTCATTTTGCACTTGAGGGCCTCCCCTCACCGCCCCCCATCCCCTGAAGGAATGAGAGGTTAAGTGGTGTGTCTGGATTCTCCAGTGAGGAAAAACGGTCAATTTCATTCTTATTTACATTTCCTTCTCTAGAAAATTAGGTTAAGGATTGGTTTAGAATTCAACAGGCGACAGGAATGCAATCACATTGTGAACACGGAGTACACTGAGGTTTTGCAAGAGGAGCTAGAAGAGGTGTGCCCTCACCTGTGTCCAGGGGCCTGCCTCCCTCTGTGGGGGCGGTGACCTGGGATGCTGCTGAGAGCCAGCTCACAGGACAGATGGGGTGGCCTGGAGAGCATGCGCTTCCACTGCTGTCCCAGAGCATGTGCCAGAGGGGTCTCAGAAGTCCTTTTCTTCAAATACTTTGGCCACCCTCCTGCGCGCAGTACCAACTTTAAGTTTTGAGAAAGCCCAGTGAGTTACCTTTGAAAGATAATGTGGTGGTGAAGATGAAGACACAGTCCTAAATTACTAAGTAACTAAATGTGCGAGAATTATTCAAACCCTGAGGACTCAGCAACCAGTAAGGCAGATAGAAATCCCAGTCCCCGTGGGACTGACATTCTGATGAGACAGACAATAGACAAGTAAAGAAGTAAGGGGGTGAGGTTGATGGTCACTGGTGACAGGTGACTTGGGGAATGTAAAGTAGGACAGGGGATTGAGCTTTGGGGGAGGGAGGGAGGGCACCCAAGTGGAAGTGCCTGAGAACCTTTAGTCCTGATGATTTAGTTTTCTCTGTTTCCCACAAAGTGGCCTCTCAAATTATCTGCCAGGGAAAATTGCAACACTGGGTCAGGGAAAGTGTGGGACCTAAGTGGGTGGGGGTAAGGAGACTCAATGCAGGCCCTGTAATCTGTAATCCAGAGTGGGGGTTCAGATGGAGGGGGGAGCTCTTTTATGTCAAAAGGATGTCATCTTCAGGCAGTTGGTGTCGGTATTTATGATGGCTTTGTTTGTGCCATTACATCCCACACGAGTTTTTCTATATGCTATTTAGAGAGAACAGTTGTGGTAGCATTTTGACTTAACATTTCAATCTGGGAGCAAATTTTTGATTTGGGAAATCTGAAAATGAGGCAATGAAACATTACAAAAAAAACAGAGTTTGTTGACAGTAATAGCTCAGAAAATTGGACTGGTTATGACTGAAACTGTATTCTTTCAGTTTCTTGGAAGGGATTGTCTCCGGTGAGGAAAAAATAGGTCAATTCCATTCATAGTCACATTTCCTTTTCTAGAAAACTAGGTTAAGAATTGGTTCAAAATTGAACAGGCAGCATGGAATCTGGGCAGGAACCTCCCTTGCCTTCCTCCCTGGCCATTCACCCTGTGGGCCCTTAGCCCCTGACTTTCAGAACTATGAGCAAAATATCTAATTCTCTTTTTCCTGATGGGGCCCAGAGTCCTCTTTCTGCTGTCCTTCTTATTCAGTTTTGCTCTTCTGAGTTCCTCAGTGGCCTTCCCAGAGCTCTGTTGGGGTTGCCTGGAGGCCACACCACCTTTACCCCCCCTCCCCCTTCTGAAACATGCTCACTAGGCACTTTATACACTTACTCACTTTAGTAACGCTTAGTAACAAGCTCTGGCTGTGTGTAAAAATTCACTCCAGTTTTGCAGTGGGCCCCCTCCCCAGGCAAGTCTAATATCAAGCTTAATTGCCTCCCTTTCATTGTCAGAGGTGTGAGGTTCACTTTTTTAAATGCAGTGAATCATTAAGATATTAATACATGACTTAATATCTAATAACGAGAATTGAAAGTATAAGCCTGATTTAATGTTTTAACTCAGTGCTAAAGCTTTCTCATAAAATAAAACAGTTAAGTATTGCCTAGACGAAATGACACCCACACACTCACCTGGCTCTATAAAGCTTCCCAGGGCTCTCTCTTTTCTGTTAGCAGTGAACTAATAAATTTATGATGAGGCAAAAGCGAGAAAAAGAAAAAGGGGGCAATTACTTTTGGACTTCTCGAAAGAACTGTATTTGTATTTATTTGCCTTCCTCAGAGCTGAGCACAGACACACAGGGCTTGCCTCTGGACACACAGCTCCCCAGTCACAGCCAGCAAATCTGCAGTTTCCTTCCGCCCATCTCTCTAACTCTTGTTCTCATTGTGTAGATTGTGCAACAGGTTGGTTTTTACCTCTGTCCCTGAAAAAGAAGGAATTATATACTTTGACAGCGACTTAAGATATGTCCCAGATGATAATGGGATTCTTTAGATGACAGAGGAGGTATTGTGCTATATATAAATAGTTCATATTTGCTTTGCACAATTTGTTTCATCATGAGAGGACATATATTTAATTTACAAATGACTAAAACAAAAACTGTGGTTCTACAATGCTCATTTTGGCTTGTTTAATGCTGAGAAAGAGAGTCCAGAATAGAGTTCAGGAGAAATCTTTCTTCCAAAAGACCCTGGAGTGTAAATGAGTGGATATTCACGTTTTTGAGTGTTAATTGTTTGACAGGTATTGAGCAGCTAGGCTTTCTGTTAAGTTCCAGGGCTGTAAAATGTCAAGGCATGTCCCAGAAGGGCTCCCCATTTTACTGGGGAAGCAAATTAAGTCATAATAATGGTGTAAGTGTTGTAATACGTAATGTAGGTATAGGCACCAAACTCGGAAGGCTTGTGTTTATGCCTGTAGGTATATGGAGGACTTGGCAGGGGAGCTAGACTTCTGCCAGCCAGAGAGGCAGAAAGCAGCCCATGAAAAGGCGTGGACGCTGCCTGTTTGTTTGCTTGGAAAGCTGTGGAAGTAGGAGATTCTGAAGGAGGAAGTTGCAACCAGACTGTCTCCCATGCTGAGGACTCTTAGACAGACGAGGGGTTGGTGGGTAGAGCTTTATCCACAGGGGTGAGAGACATGATAAAGAAAATACATTTTAATTCAGAAGGTAAGTCGTGTGGCAGTTGGAGGAGGATGGGCGAGCAGTGGGCTCTCTGGGGTCGGGAGGACACAGCCATTCTGCGCCATCTCTAGGCTCACTACAATGAGGGTCCAAACCGGAACCCGCCCCATTTAGTGATCACTCTGCTGGAAGGTTCAGCCCCTGTCAGATTAGTTTAAGATGTGTGAGCCCCTTAGTAAAAAAAGGAAAGTCTGTAAAGAGAAAAACAGATCAGGAGGACTTGAGTGAGCAAGTGCTGAGTGAAAGACCATTACCAGTCATTCTTCTTTGAACTCAATTCATTCATGAAATTGGAGAAACTGGAGTTTCAAAGAATTTGAAACTGCTGTTTCCCTTTCTCTGCCTCTAGTTAATTTTTAATTTGCTGTCATCTGTTGGCTGACAGAAAAAGAACGATGTCTTTCAGCAGAGAAGCCAGTCCGTGAGCCCAGCTTTGAGCCTGCTCGGAGTGGGCGGTGCTGCCGGGGCCTCCTGGGGGTGGGCTGGGCCTACCCAGGATGCAGGAATCAACTTGTTGAATCTTTCTTACTCCTCAAAGCACCTTTAAATAATCCATGCTGGGAGTTGTTTCATCTTCGGGCAAGAGAAAGTGAAATGGCCCTCAAAGGTGCCACATCTCAAGTACATACTATAAAACATAGGTGCTTGGCCTTTGAAATTCAAGTGCCGTAAGCAGAGACATTTATATCCTGCTACTAATAGGTTTACCTTTCATTATGATGATTTGTTCTTTGAGACCAGCACAAATAAAAACAAAGCCGGTTACATCTGACTATTCCAATACGTTAAGGTAGTCAGAGTGTTTTGTTTTGTTTTTTGTTTTTTTTTTTTTGTGGTTCCAAAAGGTGATTTCTTCCCATTGCCAGGTGCAGGAGAAGACACATTTCTGGGAGCTGGTGCTCCTTCCTTAGTGAGGTTTGTGGTGGTGGCAGTAGTGGTAGTGGTGATTTAGTAGCAAAAAGCCCTGCCTGTATTCACAGTCTTCTGACTGTCCTCAGCAGTCAGACCAGCTCAGAGGACAGTGAGGGTTGTGACTGGTTCGGGTTCTTTCTACTGTAGAAACCTCTTCCTTTTCATGTAAACAGTGGTTGACTAATATTTGTGTACACGAAAATGCAACAACATGAAGCAATGAATGTATCTGCAACTCAGTGTTGGACTGAATTCCAGTTTTCTGCTCTCCAAGTGGTGAAACAGGAAGCAACATCTCGTCAGGCAGAACCTGAAGGTGCCATCCAGTAGCTTCGCCTCACGTCACTGATTGCCCTCAGTCGGAAATCTTGACTTGCAACTTTGGAGGGTGGGTCTCTGAAAGAATTTCAGAGCTTACTCGGAGATGAGGTGTGTTGCTCTCTGAGGAGAACGAAGCCAGCTGGAACACTGGAGATCTGGCTCTGACTGCCCTCCACAAGCCAGGGGCATCTTTTGCGAACTGGAGTTTCAGAAAGGTGGGCACCATTTCGTTGATTAGTTATGATTGTTGTTTGTATTTAATACCTTTTAAAACCAGATTGTCCTTTACTCTGTGTGTGTGTGTGTGTGTGTGTGTGTGTGTGTGTGTGTGTGTGTGTGAAAGAGAGAGAGAGAGAGAGAGAGAGAGAGAAAGACAGAGAGACAGAGGGAGAGATATGATCAAAATGCTTACTTTTTGCCTGATATTCTGGGACAGGTACAGAAAAGAGAGCTTTGAATCCCTTTGCTTGAGGAGTTTTACTTGAGAAATCTTGTCACTGGGGAAGGAATGTTGGGTCCAAGCTTCTACTCCCAACCTGTCTGTATCCCTTGCTCTTTGGGGTTTTTAAACTGAATATTCATTGAGGAAATAGGAAGAATTGTTCAGAAAGTGAAATCCCCTGTGGCCACAGGCTCAGGGTCGTGGAATTTGGTTTATTTGGCAGTTCCGGTCAGGGTGGAGTGGAAGGGTCACCACAGATCTGCAGGTGGCAAATGCCATTTCAGACCTTTTCGTCTTGAATTTGGAACAAGGCGGGACTTGCTCATCCCGTGTGACAAGGCTTTCTGAGCCCGCTCTGTCTGGAGGGAGAGTCTCAGTGTCAAGCCCAGGCATTAACTGGTTCCTTCTGAAAGCGCCAGCCTTGTCCGGAGAAACAAAACGAAGCTTTATCTTTTATAACCCAAACAAATATTTAGTGAGGACATTCTTTTAAGCAATTTTATTTCCTGAAAAGCTTTACACAGGGCAAGGGAAAGAAACCTTTGGGACTTAGCTGATGATGAAAATTAATTTGTAATATATAATGGTAGCTTACCTGCTTACTTTGGGGAGACACAGATTTTCAACAGCACCTCTCCGTGTCACTTCCTACAAGTCTTTTTTTTTTTTTTTAAGGTGTTTATACTGAACATTTCATCAATAATATTGCTGGCAAAGGGACACATTATTTAAGGGGAAAATAATCATGTTTATACAGATCATTATGTAGTCTTCCCCTTAAAATTTAAATAAGGGACCAGGAAAAAGAATAACTATAAGAAAGTAAAAATCAAAATCAAGAAACAACTATGAGCCAGAGACACTCTATTGGGGTTGGGGGGTGGGGAGGGGAGGGATTGGGGTCAAAATAAGGGGGTCGCAATTGTATGGGGAATATAAAAATAAAAAAAAAATATATTAAAAAAAAGTGTTTCTGCCTATTTTAAAAGCAACTCAATTTACATTAGATAGTTCTAAGCTAGTAATCATCTACATTGGTTGAGTTACTGCTGGGCTTATCTGCATTTCCCCTTTCAATTCAATGAGATAAGACTCATATTATGTTGACTTCATGAGGAAATTTAGAAGGGGAGATTTATAGTGGCAGAGCAGGGGAGTGAGGAGACCAGAACTCTGTTGCCCTTCTGTTCTCAGAGATATGTCTCACTATAGAAGTTTACAGAAACTTCTATCTTCCTGTCCTCTTCCATTAGCCCTTCAGAGCCCTTTTTGAGAGGAGTTTCTGCACCCATAATAACAGGGGAATGTACTTGTTTACTATCTTATCTTATAGCAGAAGACCAGTTGGCTTCTACTGTTGGGGCAAGGCATGGTGTGGTAGACAGAACATGGACTAGAAAGGCAGGCATCTGGATTTGAATCCCCGCTTCCTGCTTAGTAATTCTGTGACCTAGGCAAGTCAGCGAAATTCTTCAAACCTCAATTTTCTTATATATATAAGCTAGTTATTATAATAGCCATCATACAGGACTGTTTTGTTGTAAGAAAAAGGCATGATATACAAGTGCCTTGTGTGCATGACTGGCAACCAGTAGGCTTTCTATCACTAGTATTCATTTCGCCGTTTTGCAATTAGTTGTTCATGCTTTTGGCTTTTGCTAGATCCTTTTGCGTTGTGCCTTCCCTCATATTGCTGACTTCTGCTTATAATGAGTCTTATCTCATTAAATTCATAATGAGACTGACTTTGAAAATCATCTTGATGATTGTGATCCTTCATAGGGGAGCTGATCCAGTATTGGCACAGCCTCTGAAGTAGGGTAAGGGGCATGCTATGCCAAAAGTCCTTAAAGCATAATAAAATCAGGCAAAAAGCAAGAACAGCAGATACTTCTTTTTTTAAGTCATTTTGTTGTGCTACTCATTGAAAAAATATGTCAGGAAAGATATGTTTTTGTTTATGCATGCACATGCATACATACATAGAGTTCATCTGAGTTTTCCTGGGCCTTCAAAGCCATAGCAGAATCATTGCCTGCATAGAAGGAGGCTCTGACTCCAAGGTCTCAGGGAACAGAGGGAGGGGGGTAGTGATCTCTCATTTATTTGGGGTCCCAGACCTTCTGCACAACAGTGATGGGCTTTCCAAGGTCTCCCTAATGTGAATTTAGGGATGTACTACAAAGATTTACCTAGAGATAATAGACCTTTATAAAGATGGATTTGGGATGAGTGGTTACCTTATTTGCTGGCTAAAAGCCTGGAGTCACACTCATCAAGCAGGCCAGTTGGCATCAAGAATGATGTTTCTGGCAACCAGTCCCTGACTTGGAATCCTGATAAACTACACATCAAAACAGTGAGATAGCAGCAGGACACAGGAAATCTCCTCTAGAATCGAATCAATAGTATTCTTTCTCCTGAAAACACCTGCACGCCCAGTACACTGGCATTACTGGTAGTATACAGCCTGAGTTTATTGTTTTATTTAGTTGGTGGGCCCAAAATGATAGAAGAAATCTTTATCAGCCCTAGACAGATTAGACAATTATCAGTCTGAAAGAAGGCGTTCTGAAATAGCAAGACTTAGCTTCCTGAGCATATTTTATAACCATACTATATATATTGCCTTAAGATTGGTCACCTTGGAACTTGGAGTCTAAATGATGAAAATATAAAGTAAGCTAAAAGCTTAATTTAAGATATTAGGGCTTAAGTATAAAAACCTCAAGTAGCAAATGAATAGAATGATTAAGAATCTTTGACTTTGTACAACATTGTGTAATAAAATTACAGGGTTTTGGTTCATTTTAATAACCTGATCACTGAAGAGTCTGAGGAGGGGTTGAGACCAGAGGTCTAATACATAGCTGATGTTTGGAATGTAGACATTCCAACCTAATGGAAAGTGTCCTTTTGTCGTTTCATGAGTGTACACACACATACACACACACCAGAAAATTAAGATATTTAACTAAAATTTCCAAATTCCTCAGCTTACGATTGGTGTACACACACAAACACATAGATGCATTCCCACATATTTATGTGTGTTACACAATATAAAAACAAAATCAAAAGATACATACTTTTCTCATTAGGAAAAATGCAAAGTCCATAGCTAAGGAGTATATTTAGGTTATTTGAAGAAATAAATATTGAGGAACTTGAAATGATTTTTAATTTTTATGTCCACGTTCTAAAATTAAGTACTTAATGAGGGGCATATGGCATAATCCGTTTATTCTCTCTCAAGCATTTGTACACAAGAACAAGTTCTGTTTTTATTTTGATCCCTTTGCCAGACATTTTAGCAGATAATCAATAATTATTTTAGCAGATAATCAATAATTATTTGCTGATTAGATTGCTCCTGTCACAGGCTGACTATTAAGCATTTCAAGATTCAAGCAAAAATACTGTGCAAATATTCTTCAATAATGAAAATTTCTTGACATGACTTAATGACTAAATTGGCTTCTGTTTCTCCCCCTCAAGTCTTTTCTTGTCTGATATATATTAAAACTTTAAAAACATAAAACATGCTGATGCTAAACAAATTTCAAATTGAGATGATTACCAATTTTCATGCGTAGTGTTCACATCACAGACTTATCATCATCTTCCACTTTGGGTCAAAGTTGCAGAGTCTCATAATGAGCTTCTGGAATTCTTGTAGCTGTAAATACAGCTACTTGTTTTCCTGACTTGTTTCCCATCGAGATTTGCTTTATGTGGAATTTGGGTCTATAACCAATTGTGTGAAACTAAAACTTCAGAGCATGTCTAGATAATGACCATAAAATAATACACAAGTAATTATTTCACAGATTACACCATTGTCATGGTTTTCAAACGTTTTAAAATTATTGCTAATGGTAGGAAACGCTTTTTAGATCTCAACTTAGAACACTTACACACATGTTACTGAAATAAAAGTTTCACAAAACAGTACTTGACACATACTGTTTGCTCTTGTGTTCCACCCTACTCTATAGAATTTCTAGTCATGACCTATTGATTAACTTTGGGATCCACTGGTAGTGGGTCTCAATTCTGGTTAAAAATAAGAATCAACTAGGGTACTTAAAAATATTACAACCAAAGGCGCAATAAACCAATGGAGTAGACAAGAGATTCTAAAAATATATTACCATATATGTGGACTTTTGACTTATGTCAATGTCAGTTCTATAAGGAAAGGTCTTTTGAATATCTTTGTGGAAAAAAATGAACGTAATCCAGCCTGGAAATTTATACAGATCTTAGTGCTAACTTAGATGTGACCAGTCAAGTAATATAACTTCTAGTGTGTACTGTTCAAAGTGTAGCTGCAGTTACACATGGTATTGAGTTCATGAAGTATGACTCGTCCAACTGAGATAGGCACTGAGTATAAAACACACATGAGTTCAAAAACTCATTGTAGAGAAAAAAATTTAAAACATCTCACTAATAATTTTTATGTTGATTATGTGTTGAAATGATAATCTGGACATAGAGGTTTAATAAAATAAATATATTATTAAAAATAATTTCACTGTTCCCTTTTAATTTTTAAAATATGGCTACTGGAACATTTAAACTTACATATTTGGACAGCATCATTCTAGATGACAAAATAGAATATTTAATGAGCTTGTGGTAGACAGTGATTTCTTCCTTTTTTATTGAAGGAATATTGATTTATAATTTTACATAAGTTTCAGTTATATAGCATTTTAATTCAGCATCTGTATAAACTGCATTGTGATCACCACCAAAAGACTAGTT